AACGCCCTGATCCTGGCATCCAGCCAGCCAGGGGCGGGGGTAAGAACATGTGAAAACGTTTGGAAAGAACAAAGGGGCCCCTTTCTCTCACACCTGTTAAAATGGCTACTATTAAAAAAGATGGAAGACAAGTGTTAGCATGGCTGTGGAGAAAAGCGAACCCTTGTGCACTGTTGGTAGGAATGCAAATTAGCACAGCCATGATGGAAAGCAACATGGAGGTTTCACAGAAAACTAAAAATAGAACTACCATGGGGCCAGCAATCCCACTTCTGGGTAGAGATCCAAAGGAGCTGAACTCAGTGTGCCACCGAGATATTTGCTTTTCTATGTTCACTGCAGAATTCACAGTGCTGAGTTATGGAAGCAACCGAGGTGTTCACCATTGGATGAATGTATAAAGAAAACGTGTGTGTACATGAGAGAATAGTATTTAGCCTTCAAAAAGAAGGAAATTATGTTATTTTTGACAACAGAGATGAACTTGGAGGACATTATGTTAAATGAAATAAGCCGGGCACAGGACAAATGCCACATGATCTAACTTGTAATTCTCATATGTGGTATCTAAAACATCAAGCTCACAGAAGCAGAAAGCACAATGATGGTTCCCAGAGACTGGGAAAGGGGGTTGGAGGGAAAAAGGTGAGAGATGAGGGTGCAAAATTTTAGTTAGACAGGAGTAATAAGGTTTACTGAGCTATTGCACAGAATGGTGACTATAATAAGTAATAATGCATTGTATATTTCCAAACTGTTAAAAGAGGAGATTTTAAGTGTTGTCACCACAAAAAAAGATAAGTATGTGAGGTGATAGATTTGTTAGCATGATTTGACCAATCATTCCACATTGCACACATATATCAAAACATCACATTATGCTCCATAAATATATAATTATTATTTGTCAGTTAAAACAAAGAATGAAGGCAGCACCCACCTGATGCTAAGCACCTAGAAATGACTGAATTCCACCAACATGTGTTTGGCATGGACACGGCCTTGGCCTTCATAGAGCTTCGTGGACTCCTGGGGCAGGTGGGGTCAAACACATTCTCACCCAGATAACTCTATGATCATACTTGTGATGGGCCAGACTTTTGGAGCTGTGGTTCAAGGATATATCTTTTGTGAGTTTTTTTTTGTGTGTGTGTGTGTGTGTCTGTTTTTAACTTGTTTTTTAAGTGTTTGTAGTAAGAAAGCACTGAGCTTGGGTGGCTGAAAGTGTGTGATGGAGAATCTATAAATGATAGTTTCGTATAGATGAGTTGTGCTCGGCATTGTCTATATTCATCTACTTTTTGGTGTCACTAACGGCATATGAAATGACAATTAGAGACGTCAGCTGCTCTTTGACTTGAATATACTTTCCAGAGAGCACTAAATCTACAGTGTTTCTCCTCATTCGTATGGATCTTAAGGTAGTTGAAGGACAATGACTGCCAGGCCCTGTAGACTGTTTTCTCTATGCCAACCACTGCTCCAGGACCCTCTGATGTGTTACCACTCAGTTAATCTTCACAGCAGTCTCATGACACTTGCACTATTATTTTACACATACCCCATTTTGCAGATTAAGAAACTGAGAAGCAAAAACTAAAGTGGTTTGCCTAAGGTTTCCAGCTAATAGGTGAGACAGCTGGGATTTAAAGCTGGTAGACTGCTATGCTTTCTGCCAGTCTGCTATGCTTTCTGTCTGAAGACAGATGATATCTAAAATAATTTTTAAACATATGAAATTCATTTTCAGTATAATTATAGATAGCAGATCCAAATAACTAGAAAAATCCAGGAAAAAGAGCCATGAATATACACTTTCAAAGAGCGTGCAATGAAGAGCAAAATCAATTCTTGCTTTATAAGCTATCGCAAGGATTTTACCCCTGTCAACATTTTATTGTTAGATATCAAAAAATCATTACCACCACAACAAAACATTCACAATGATATAAAAATGGACTTTGTTCCTTAAGGAAATGCTATAAATATGCACAAGAAAATATTTTTCTCTGAGAAATGGCAATCAGCCAATAAATCAGCAAGTCACACACGAGCCTCCTCTCTTTTCCTAGAATTTAACACATGAAGATTTAACAAGGCTTGTAATCAGTTCAACAAGAACGAGAGAAGCCTGTTGGAAGCCATCATTAAATCTAAAACTTAAAACTTCTGCATGACAAAATACATCATAAAAAAGGTTAAAAGACAAGCTATACATAGGGAGTAAATATTTGCAACATGCCTAGTAAGAGAAGATTGTTAACCAGAAATGACAATGAACTCCTACAAGTCAGTAAGACAGGCAACTCAAAAGGAAGAAGCATAAATAATAGGTTCAAGGATTTCAGAGAAAAGGAAATTCAAATAGCCAGTCAACATGGAAGGATGTTGAACTTCACTAGCAATTACGGAAACTCAAAATGGAACCACAATAAGCTACTTACTTCAGATGTGCAAAATGTTTAAGTTGGCTGGTATCAGATGTTTGGTGTAAGTGTGGGGAAATGAGCACTTTCTTTTTTTTTTTTTAATTTATTTATTATTATTATACTTTAAGTTGTAGGGTACATGTGCATAACGTGCAGGTTTGTTACATATGTATACCTGTGCCATGTTGGTGTGCTGCACCCATCAACTCGTCATCTACATCAGGCATAACTCCCAATGCAATCCCTCCCCCCTCCCCCCTCCCCATGATAGGCCCCGGTGTGTGATGTTCCCCTTCCTGAGTCCAAGTGATCTCATTGTTTAGTTCCCACCTATGAGTGAGAACATGCGGTGTTTGGTTTTCTGTTCTTGTGATAGTTTGCTAAGAATGATGGTTTCCAGCTGCATCCATGTCCCTACAAAGGACACAAACTCATCCTTTTTGATGGCTGCATAGTATTCCATGGTGTATATGTGTCACATTTTCTTAATCCAATCTGTCACTGATGGACATTTGGGTTGATTCCAAGTCTTTGCTATTGTGAATAGTGCTGCAATAAACATACGTGTGCATGTGTCTTTATAGCAGCATAATTTATAATCCTTTGGGTATATACCCAGTAATGGGATGGCTGGGTCATATGGTACATCTAGTTCTAGATCCTTGAGGAATCGCCATACTGTTTTCCATAATGGTTGAACTAGTTTACAATCCCACCAACAGTGTAAAAGTGTTCCTATTTCTCCACATCCTCTCCAGCACCTGTTGTTTCCTGACTTTTTAATGATCGCCATTCTAACTGGTGTGAGATGGTATCTCATTGTGGTTTTGATTTGCATTTCTCTGATGGCCAGTGATGATGAGCATTTTTTCACGTGTCTGTTGGCTGTATGAATGTCTTCTTTTGAGAAATGTCTGTTCATACAGAATGGGAGAAAATTTTTGCAATCTACTCATCTGACAAAGGGCTAATATCCAGAACCTACAAAGAACTCAAACAAATTTACAAGAAAAAAACAACCCCATCAAAAAGTGGGCAAAGGATATGAGCACTTTCATACGCTGCTGGTGGGAGTCTACATCATAGCCAAGTTGGAGGTGCTTTGGAAGTACCTGGTAATATTGAAGATGAGCGAATTCTATCATCTTAAAATTATCTGCAGAGAGAAATATTTGCACAGATGCACTGGGGGATATGTACAAGGATGTTCACTGCAACATAATTTGAAATAATGGAAAACTGACACAACCTAAATATCCACCAGCAAGAAATGAATAAACTGTGGTATGTTCTTAAGATATAATAGTTATAGAATGACTCTAGATGTAAATCTACCAAAATGCATACAGCTCAAAAATGACAAGTGGAAAGAAGTTGCAGAACAACATACAGTGTGATATCATTTACAGAAATGTGTTTTAAAAAGTTCCCACATCAACAATATTACATGTTTCTAAAGATATGTGAATATACATGTAAAAGTTTACAAAACGGGCTGAAGGCATACACACCAAGTTCAGAATAGTGTCTATTTCTGGAGAATAAGGAGAGTTACTGTGATTAATGTGATAGACAAGGAGGGGGAGGGTTAAGTCAATAATGCGCTTTTTTTTTAAAGTGAAGAATTAATTCATACAGTTTAAAAAATATTATATACATAGGAAAAAAGACTGACTCAAATATGCCAGTGATTAATTCCTGTTGGTGAAGATTTCTTGGATTTTTCTTTCCTCCTCTTTTTAAAAATAGTTTTATACATTTCCAATTTTCCAAAATAAAAAATACAATGAAAAAATCAATGGAAATATAACTCGTAAATTTCAACTAAATCTGCAATGTCATGCTCTACCTCTTGTGATTAGCTTTTCTTTATTTTTATTTTACACAATTATGCTCTTAAGTAAGGACAAATTAGAGTCAGAACACTTTGGTCCTCCATTTCCTTCAATAAACAGGAACATAATGTATTTGGATAACTGTTTTTGGTCTAACAGAGCTTTGACATTAGAGAGGCATATGTTTCATAGATTATGGATGGCACTGTTTAGAAGACTTCAAATTCACAGGTGGCAGCCGGAATCCCATAAAGATGTTGTATCTTTGGATTTAAACAACAGTTGCAACTAAGAGTTAAATAACTCTGTGCCACTCTTCTGGTCATATCTAAAAAGCACAATAGTATAGTGGTTTAGAACTGAGCTGTCTAATACGTGTTACAATGTGTTCTCATTTAAATCGAAATGAATTAAAAATAAATACAACTAAAAACTGAGTTCCTGGTCAGGTGCAGTGGCTCACACCTGTAATCCCAGCACTTTGGGAGGCCAAGGCAGGCAGATAAACTTGAGGCTGGGAGTTCAAGACCAGCCTGGCCAACATGGTGAAACCCTGTCTCTACTAAAAATACAAAAAATAAAATAAAATAAAATAGCCAGGGATGGTGGCACACACCTGTAATCTCAGCTACTTGGGAGGCTGAGGCACGAGAATCACTTGAGCCCGGGAGGCAGAGGTTGCAGTGAGCCAAGATAGCGCACTGCACTCCAGCCTGGGCAACAGAGCAAAGTTCTGTTTAAAAAAAAAAAAAAAAAGTTCCTCAGTTCCTCAGTTGAACTAGCCACATGTCAAGTCCTCAATAGCTATTTGTGGCTAGAGGTGACCAGATGGGACAGCACAGATACAGAATACTTCCTTCATCACTGAAAGTTCTATTGGACAGCATTGGCTTAAAGCATGGACTCTAGAGCCAAACTCCCTGGATCCTGATCCCAACTCTACCACTTGTGAACTACTTGGTTGTAAGCAATTTTGAAATCCGTCTGTGTCTCAATGGCTTCATCTCTAATATTAGGAAAATTGTGAAACCATCCTTGCTGGGTTGCTGTAGGGATTAAAGGACTTAATTGATATATGCAAAGCTTATATTAACACAATAAACATTATATAAACTGCAAGCACTTATTATATCTGTCAGCTGTCTACCTGATGGAAAGAAGTACCACATGGCCCTCATCATCTCTTACTTCCAGAGCCATCGGGACATGGTGGAGGAAGAAGTAATGCTCTGGTCACCATGAGAAGATCCTTGCTCTCCTGGGCCTGATGGCTGCTGTATTGAGAACAAAGCACAGGTCACGGAGCAGGAGAGACAGGGACAACAGTAAGGAGGCCACTGTGATAATCCCAGCAGTAGGTGATCTCCCTGGGCCATGATGGTGGCAGTGAGGTGGTAAGAAGGGATCAGGTTTTGGAGTTGAAGTTATATCCTGACAGACCAGCTGTGGCATATGAGAGAGAGGAGTGAGAATCTGCAGGTATCTATTAAACACTCGTTTGCTGTCCTTATTTGGTACTTACAGCCAGAAGCCCAATACAAAGACTTGTATTTGTCATCATGAGGTCATCACCGGGCAGGATATACCAAATAAGAATGACACAGAGGAGAAAAGTATGTCAACACATTTTCTTATATAAAAAGGGAAAGGATAAATCATATATTTAAATGGTCATTTATAGGAAAATAGAAGTGAGGGGATGCTGGACTTTGAATAGCTCTTGCTTTGTCAGTTTGACTTTGTAATCATGTAAATATTTTTATAATGATAAATTAAATTTCATTTAAAAATGAATTATTAAAAATGTAAAGCAAAATAAAGCAAGTGAACCTAACTATATAAGCAGTTGGTGGTATAGCTACACACAGAGGAACAATTCTAAGTAATTCTACAACACAGTAATTTGACGGTACATCCTTGGTGGGATATATCTGAAAGACAAAGAGAAATGTTTTCATTAGCCATATTGTTATCACAGTTTTTGTATAATTACTCTGAGGCTGATTGTATGTTGTGTGGGACATGGCAAATTAAATTAGTAATTACATTGGAATTATTTAGAATCAGGATTTTCAGCACAGAAGAAGGGAGATATTTACGGATGTAAGGTCCATGAAGTAAAGTAAAAACATGGTTGTCCTGAATTTGAGTTGGACATATCAGATTGGATTAATCATTTTGTTTAAAAACTTATGTTTTCTATCTTTGTCCACTGTAAATAATAACCAGCCCAGAAGCAATGAGCACACTTACTGCTCAGAATGTGGTCTCTAAATAATATCTCCCATTAAAAGGAACCAGGAATCCCTAAGAGAAATGGCTGATTCCAGGTCTGGGGTAGGATATATACAAGATGAACCTGGAAGATACTAGAAAGCAAGGAAGCTATCAAAGACAATTAGGGCCATGTCAAAAGTAGTCCAGAGCTGACTTGATCAGGCTTCCACTGGTCAAAGATTGAACAATTTAAATATTATAAAATACAGTAACTGCAATCACCATATAAAACATATTTAACACATAAACTCTTAATAATATTAATTATAAAAGTAACAAGCACACCTTTGGAAGATGCCAGGAAACACCTCATTATTTGAAAACTGCCATGTACAGGGAAAAATAAAGCATATATCCTACCTATTCTGTATAAACTTTACCCCACGGTAGCCAAATGCGGGAAGGGGAAAATTTTCTCTTTACAGAACATTTAAGTTGACGTGTGAAGAGAAAAATAATAGAATGAGAATATTTATTACAGATTGTCATTTTTGCAACCTGTAATAAATGAACAGATATAGGCAATAATCAACAGCTGTTAATGCCATAAAAATAGAGATTATAAGACATTATGAACTTGCTGATGGAGGTATAAAACATAATCTATGAAACAATCTTGCTGTCCCCTTCCAAAGGCAACAAAACAACAAAACCCCTGTGTCTTATAAAGCCAATTCACAGGAAATAGAGGAGACACAAGAACAGGTTAAACAGCATCATAAAGAAGCAATCAGATAATTTCTGATATTTTTTGAAACAAACATTCAGGTTTCTTTAACACAGCAACAATACCAATGAAAACAACAAAATAGGAAAAAAACGTGGGGGAGAAAAAAGGAAGCAAAGAGAAGAGAAGGGAAGGGAGGAGAGGGGAGGGGAGAGGAGAAGAGGGGAGGGGAGGGGGAAAGGGGAAGGTGAGGTGAGGGGAGGGGAGGGGAGGGGGAAAGGGGAAGGTGAGGTGAGGGGAGGGGAGGGGAGGGCAGAAGAGGGGAGAGGAAGGGAGGGACGAGAAGGGAAGGGAACGGAAGGGAAGGGAAAGAAGAGAAGAGATGATGGGGGTTAAAAGAGACTTAAGGAACACAGCAATGAATCAATATACAAGGACAATTTAGATCCCAATTCAAACAAACAAACAACAAAAAAAAATTGGAAAAAATAAGACAAGCAGGAAACTGTATACCTGGTGATATGAAGTCCTATTATTAATTTTTCATTTGTTCTTTCTTCATTAATGTTTTTAGCAGTGATATTATATGGTTATGTTTTGGCTATGTTTTGTGTGTGTTTGTGTGTGTGTGTGTGTGTGTGTGTGTGTTTCTTTGAGTCAGCGTCTCACTTTGTCTCCCAGGCTGGAGTGCAGTGGTGCGATTTTGGCTCACCACAACCTTCGCCTCCCGGGTTCAAGAGATTTTCCTGGCTCAGCCTCCTGAGTAGCTGGGATTACAGGTGCCCACCACCACACCTGGCTAATTTTTTGTATTTTTTAGTAGAGACAAGATTTCACCATGCTGGCCAGGCTGGTCTCAAACTCCTGACCTCAGGTGATCCACCCACCTCAGCCTCCCAAAGTGCTGGGATTACAGGCTTCAGCCACCATGCCCAACCTATGGTTATGTTTTTTAAAGAGTCTTTTTGAGATGGGGCTGGAATATTTATAGATGAAATTACAAAATGTCTGGGATTTGTTTCCAAATAATCCATTATGTGTGTAAAGGTGGGCAGGAGGAAGAGGCAGGTAAGAGCATAAAGGGAAAAAAATTGACTCAGGAGTTGATAGTTATTGAAGTGGATGATGCGTATATAATTATTTTTCCTTATAATTTTGTTCCTGCTGTGGTAGCTGCCTGCTCTGATTAGGATTCCTCCTGGATCCCTCCCCTCCTCTCACCCCCATATCCAAGTCATTGGCACGTCCTGAAAACTCTACCTTTAGAGCATGTCCTAGGCCTTCTCCGCTCCCTTTCCCCAGCTACTATCCTAGTCTCAGCTGGATCATATCAGTAACCTCTAACCAGACTTCCTGCCCCATTCCTGTCACAAGGAACAAAGCAAGTGTAAAGAGAATAATGTCATTTGCACTTGAAGGATGAGAAGTTTGCCAGATCAGCTGGGGTGGAGGCATTTCAGGCCAGGGGAACATGATGTATAAATGCATGGCAGTGTCTATCAGCACCATGTGGTTGGTGCGGAGAGGGCAAGCAGCTCCGTGTGACTGGAGTTCAAGAAGCAATAAGATATTAAGGCTGGAGAGCAAGACATGGGATGAGGGATAAAATGCCTTGAATGCCATGTTATGTTTCCCTATTAATCCAAGGGCAATAGCCAGTCATTGAGGAATTATCTACAGAAACTGACATGATAAGATTTGCACATTCAAGAAAGAACTCTGGGGGCAATTCCGGGGAGGCTGGGCTGGAGGTTCCTGAATTTGGAACTCAGAGGCCAATTAGATTACTGCAATCCTTCAGGTGAGACAAAATAAGTGACTGCACTAGCAAGATGGCAGCAGGAATAGAGAGGTAGGTGAGGTATTTGTTGGGCAAATCAGTGGGATTTGGTGATTGACTGGATGTCTAGTCAGCGAGCAAGGAATCTAGCTCCTAGTGGGATGTAAAGTCATTAATGAGGGTATTGCAATGAGAAGGAGATCAGAGTTTTGAGGGAAAGGGATACAATGAGTTAAGTATTGCGCATACTGGTTGGTGGGAAATCCAGGCGGAGGTATCCAGCAGGCAGCTGGGTATTTGAGTCAGGCTGAATAAGAGGATCTACATGACAAACATTTAATTTTATACACAGCATGTAGTCCAAAGGAAGATATTAAAAGAAACTGATTTTAGCAAATTCCACAGCAAAAGAAGCAATTTTAAGTAGTAAGTGTGGAAGCGCTTGAGTAGTTTTAAAAGTAGGCACCTGAACTAGTGTTTTAACAATCTTTCGGCAGCCACAAAAAACGGATGAGTTCATGTCCTTTGTAGGGACATGGATGCAGCTGGAAACCATTATTCTCAGCAAACTATCACAAGAACAGAAAATACCCCATGTTCTCACTCATAGGTGGGAATTGAACAATGAGAACACTTGGACGCAGGAAGGAGAACATCACACACAGGGGCCTGTGGTGGGGTGGGGGGAGGGGGAGGGACAGCATTAGGAGATATACCTAATGTAAATGATGAGTTAGTGGGTGCAGCACACCAACATGGCACATGTATACATATGTAACAAACCCGCACGTTCTGCACAGGTACCCTAGGACTTAAAGTATAATAAAAATAAATAAATAAATAAATAAAAACGATCTTTCAACTTCCTTCCCACCTTCTTTACTCTGTTCCTACTTTCTGTTCCCTCCCTTCCTTCTTTCCCCCCTTTATGCATTTTATTTTTTAATATTTTATTTATGATTTTATTTTTAAGAGATGAAGTCTCGCTCTACTACCCAGGCTGGAGTGCAGTATCTTGATCACAGCTCACTGCAGCCAAGTACTCCTGGGTTCAAGTGATTCTCCCGCCTCAGCCTCCCGAGTATCTGGGACCACAACAGGCTAATTTTTGTATTTTCTGTAGAAACAGGGTCTCACTATATTGCCCAGGCTGGTCTTGAACTAGTGGCCTCAAGTGATCCTCCTGCCTTGGCCTCCCAAAGTACTGGGATTAAAGGCATGAGCCACCACACCTGACCTCTTTCTGTATTTTACGATAATATTTACGAAACAGTTTACCATATGCTAGATGTGGTGCAGCAGACATAATGATGAATAAAAACTGGATCCGAATACAATGGATTTGGCATATGCCCTCACAGACCTCAGTCTTGTAGGAAAGACAGACATTAAACAAATGCTCAAAAAATAATTGCTTAATAACAAACTGTGGAAATCTTAAGGACAAGTGCATGGCAAAGTGATCCATACACAAGGGACCTTAAGGAACGTTTCACTCATAAAGTGTTGATTTAACAGAGAATGATGAATAGGAGATTTTACTAAGTGAAGGGGATTGGAAGAGCCTTCCAGGCAGAGACTTAGCATGTGCAAGATCTCAGGGGCAGGGGAAAGCAGCGAAGAACTGGAAGAAGGCCAATTGGACGGGGGGTCAGAGACAAAGGGGAGCTTATTATACATAAGACAAGCTGGAGAGGCAAGTGGGGTCAGCCCATGCAAGACCTTCTAGGCTATAGGAAAAGTGTTGTCTTTCTTGAACGGTAAATAGGAAACTATTGAACAATTTTAAGTAGGGAGTGATATGATCAGATTTGCATTTTGAAAATGTAACTCCACTGTGTAAAGAGCAGAAGGGCTCTTTGATGGAAGGGCTTCAGAATGGATGATGGGAAACCAACTGGAAGGCTACCACAGTGACTTAGGAGAGATGATGTTGGTTGGATAAAGTTGTGGCAATGAAGATATAAAAAAGTAGATGGATTCATTCCATTGTGTGCGTGTGTGTGTGTGTGTGTTTTAAGGAGGTAACATCTGTGGTGAACAGGCTACGGGTGAAGGAGACAGCTGCCAAGGGTGGGCATTTGTATTAATCCAGCATGGATATTTGCCATAGTTGTAATGCAGACAAAGGTTTAGGGTCTTGTAGGAAAGCCATGGAAAAGAAGGATGGAAGAACTCAGTCAAATGGCTATGTGTCATCCTGGAACAAATTCCTTGCCCTCCAGGAACTTAGAATCTGCTAAGATGAGCCTGGTACACAAATGCCAGCTCATTTACAGTACTTGGGATCAGATGAGTACGGGCTATTATGAGGGATACTGACACCATGTGATCTAGGAGTCAAGAGAAGAGCCAGGGTGGGCCAGGTCAGGGATTTCTTCCTGAAGGACAAAGCACAGAGAGGCAGCTCTCAAAATCCTTGCAACACATCCCTAAAATCCATATAGAAAACTCTATGTGTTTGGTGTAATACTGGAAACAAGTATTTCTTATGTTCACATTAAATATCAATTATATTCATTTCATGACACTCTTTCTAATGACAGCATACATATTCTCCTCCTGGCAAACAACTAATGTCTACAAATGCCAAAAATCATACCTAAGAATTTCAGATATTTATAGTTAGTTGATTCCTTCATTCTTTTTTTTTTTTTTAAATAAGAAAGCAAATTCCTATTTTGGTAGGACAGTGGTAAATCAGAAATGTACAATTAACACATAAGTAAATAGATATAAGCAGCTCTAGAGTCCCCAGCAAGTGGCTGTCATGAGACACCACCCAAGTTTACAGCTTTGCAAATGGGTTTTGTCCTCCCAGAGTGAGATACAGGGTGCACTTTCTGTCTTGGGCTTGAAGACCTGAGGGCTGACTAGACCTTGAAGGAGAAGTACAGTACATACTGTTCCAAGACCACATCCTCAGCAATCCCTGAGGACACAGTTACCAGATGCTTTGAAAGAATCAGGGGTTACAGCACCTGAATCCTTGGGGAGACCTACAGCTGCTGGTAATTGTGTATGGCTCAATTTTATGACCATTCTTCTATCTGCCTTATTTAGGAGGCTAGATATTAATGAAGAGGAGGCAGAGACGAGCAGCAGGAGATCTCATGTGCCGACACAAATCCTAGAGAGGATTTCTACATGGAGACTCGCAAAGGGAGATTCTTGACATTGTGTTTGTGTAGGTCACATGTCACATCCTCTTTTACCAAGCCCAGGAAGGAAAAAAATGAATTTTTGGCTGGCATTTGTTAACCTTTAATGGTACAAATTGTTGAACCATATGATAGAGCATTCTAAACAGCAAACGAGGAGAAAATAGCAGCTTGTTAAATTCAATAGTAGAAGGACACTTTAAGATCACATCGATCTTGTGGGCTCGGGTACTTAAAATATGAAGTGACATCCCCAAAGGAGATATTGAATAAAATGAATAGAAAAATGTTGGTGACATATTGATGAAGCCTCATGGGCAGGCTGTCTTCTACTTGTCCCTCTGGATCCACTCTCTGCCCTTCTTCAACATACTCTGCTCATTTTGAGGAGTGGGGCTCCCTGGCCCTCTGGCTTCCACATGGGGCTTACAGGAAGCCTCAGCAGGGGACCACAGGGAAGGAAGGGAGAATTGGAGCATTTACTCCCTACTGAGGAGTTGCCCAGTGCTGGTTGTGTCTATCTAATGCAGTCTCGGCTCCTGCCAGGGACCTCTCCACACGCACAACCCTGTGTCTGTCTCCAGGTCTAGTAATTGTCCCTCTCCTTGCCCCTTCAGGCCTGGGGTGGTAAAAGCTCCCCAGTGTTACTGCTCCTGGAGTGCAGCTGTTCCTGGTGGCTTCCCTGCATCCTGCCCATCCTTTGTAAATGTTCCCCTTATTCAATTCTCCTCAAGTTACTCAATTTGAGCATGCCATGCTTTTCCTGCTAAGTCTCAGACATACCATCAAAGGAAGCTCTTAACCAGGGTTCTGGTGTTCTGAAAGAAAGTTCTAGTGGACATCTCTCATTCTTTTTGCACCTTCTTTCACCCCCGTCCCCCATCTGCAGCACCACCCAGCATCTGAGCTGAATGTGTGGATTTCCCACCTCAAGTGTATATGTATGTATGTATGAATTTATTGGTGGGTGGGGACAGGATTTCACTCTGTTGCCCAGGCTGGAGTGCAGTGGCACCATCACAGCTCACTGCAGCCTCAACATCCTGGGCTCAAGTGGTCCTCCTGCTTCAACCTCCCCAGTAGCTGGGACTACAGGTGCACACCACCATGCATAAGTTTTTTTTATTATTATTCTTTCTACAGAAATGGGGGTCTCACTTTGTTGCCCAGGCTGGTCTTGAACTCCTGGCCTCAAGTGATCACCTTGCTTCGGTCCTCCAAAGTGCTGGGATTACAGGTGTGAACCACCATGTCCATGCCTAGCCACCTGATGAGTCTTGATGGGGGGCAGAGACCAACAACTCCACAGAAGCCAGATGCTTGCTTTCCCAGCCTCTCTTGCAGCTAGGGCTCAGGCATGTGATTCAGGCTCAGTCAATAACTCTTGGCACGACATGGGGTAAGGAGGGGCTGCAGGGAATCCATTTGGGCTGGGGTGGCAGCTGCACTGGGAGTGACATCAGTTTCCAGAGGGAGAAGCAGAATCTGGCATCAGGCTTGGGGTGTGGGAGGTGCAACCAGAGTCTGCACCCAGCAGCAGTGGCAGAATGTGTTCTCTGTGGAGAGTCTGTGTACTCCTTCCTCTGGGGCCACCAACATCTGCCTCTATGAACCTCTCAGAGTCTGTGAGCAACTCAATAGCCTTGAATTTTTTTCCCTTCCTGTTTGAATGAGCCAGGGTTGTTTCACTGCTTGAAACTAAGAGCCATGCCTGATATGAAAACCAAACATCTTTTTGACCCAATGATTCTGGCATCCTAAAATACTCATCTCATTTTAAGTTAAAAATAAATCCATGTTTGAGCATCTACTGTTTCAGTTACTGTGCTAGGTGTTACAAAGCTAAGTAAGAGTGATAAGTAAATCACTATCATCACCATGATAAATAGAGGATGGAAACTTGCTTTTTGGAATACAGATACAAAATGATTAATTCTGCCTGGAAGTGTTTTGGAACATTTCAGAGAGGTAGTGAGCTGGGCCAAGAGAAGAGCATAGGCAAGGAATGGTGGTGTGAAGTTGCCTGGAGTGTCCTGAGAAGATGGGCTCAGAAGGACTAGGGTTGGGCAGAGAAGGGGGTCACTGCAAGTGAGGCTGGGAAAGTGAGGCTGGGAAAGTGAGCCAAGGCTCAAATACAAACTGTCTGAACTTCATTTTCTGTGCAAGCAGGAGAAGCCACTGACATGGGTTTGGAAGATGGATTGAAGGGGGAGAAAAATGGAAGCAAGAAACTCTCTCACAAGAGGCTATAAACACAGCCAAGGTCATGAGATTGAAAGGGAAGGCAGATATTTGAAAAATATTTAAAGAGATGTGAGGGATAGGACAGGCATAGTGGCTCATGCCTGTAGTCCCAGCACTTTGGGAGGCCAAGGTGGGCAGATCACGAGGTCAGGAGATCAAGACCATCCTGGCTAACACAGTGAAACCCCATCTCTACTAACAATACAAAAAATTAGCCGGGTGTGGTGGCACGCCCCTGTGGTCCCAGTTACTCAGGAGGCTGAGGCAGGAGAATCGCTTGAATCCAGGAGGTGGAGGTTGCAGTGAGTCGAGATCGCGCCACTGTACCCTAGCCTAGGCAACAGAGCAAGACTCTGTCTCAAAAACAAAAAAAAAAAAGAAAAGAAAGAAAGAGAGAGAGATGTGCGGGGTTGCTGCTCTGCTGGTTGTGGAGAGTCAAGGAGGATTCAAAGATGGTCCTGAAGTCCCAGCTGGAAGAAGTAGGTGGTGGCAATGTTTTTAATATTGGCAATTCATCACATAGCACAGGTTTGGAAAAATGGCATTGGCTTTAGGCATGCCCAGATCTTTCCTCATTTTAGGCATTTGCTAATACATGCATTTTCTAAGCTGATGCCTTGTGTTTAATCACTGTTCCATTCAGGAGAAGGAGGTTGTTTCAAACCTGGTTGCTATCATTTGACTTCCTTGCTATTCACGGGGCTATTTTATTTGCTACTGATATACCACAGCCTTAAATTGCAAGTTAATCCAGGATGTTCCTAGGTTGGCAGTTAGGAATATATAATTCTTTGGAAGCGCTAAAAGTCAGCTCTCTAAATTCTCTCCATATGAACCTTCTCTCCACCTTAGGATGGATCCACTTATTTAGTCCACTGCCAGTACCTCACCAAAACCTGGGCGGTCACTGGATTCCAGGAACAACAGTAGCCTGGAGTGCGGCTGTTCCTGGTGGCTTCCCTGTATCCTGCCCATCCTTTGTAATGGGCAGGATGTTCTGTTCTGTCTGCTGTTGACTATCTCTATTCTGTTCCTGACCCTGATTTCTCCTGCCAAGCTCAATTTTGAGAGGTGACAACAGCAAGCCATGGCTTCCCAAAACATTATTTTTAGGCCAACTAATAAATTTCAAGAACATATTTGACTCTGCTTCCTGTGGTACTAAGCCTACTTCTTGATACAAGCATTTGCCTTTGTTGTAAATAGTAAAGTTCTTCCAGTTGGCTTTTTGTTAAGAAGTGTGTGGATGTGGCGTCTGATGACATCTTTAGCTTGGATTCTAAAAAGGCACTACCACTGTGCGTTTGACTAAAAGAAACACATTTTACCCATGAATGCCTTCCATTTACAAATGCTCAGCTAGCACACAAAGCTAAGGCCATGCAGTAAGTACTGTCCTACAATGTTACTCACTTCTGAAAGCACAACATGATGACTGGTATAGCTTTGGAGATGTTTTCTGGAAACCAAATAAAGGAACAGCTTTGTTATTCCACACCTACAAAGTCAGAAGATGCACAGTCTTTTATTCATGTTTGAACAAGTTTCCTTCTTGAACAATCATCTATAAAGTGATGTGATTCTCTACTAGATCAGGAGCTCTTTGAGGACGGAATCAGGTTCTAATCCATATTCTAAATCTACACCACCTGCACAATGCATGTTGCATGGTTAGGGTTAAATAAGAGTTGGTTGAATTAATCAATAATACACAGCAAGATAATTCACAAAGAGAGGGGAGTAATCTCCCCAGCCTCAATCACTGGGCAAGTGGAATCACTTGGGCACTGCTAGTGCCTGAGACAGAGCTGGTGACAATGTCATGTAATGTGAATATTTTACATGAACAGGGAAACTAGACTCACTGATAAGCAGTGTAGTCATCAAGACAACACTGTCTTGGAGGTTTTTCTGAAGTTATAACCATGCTACAGAAGCAATAAATTATGAAGGCTGAGCATGTAATAAAATTTAATGTTGTCATAAATTTTATAACAAAGTTAATCTGACACATTTAATGACACGCATAATCATTAGTATGCAGCACTGTAATCAGACATTGATAATAAGCAGTTCACATCAGTGACTGTGAGAGTCTTTACTTGTGTTCAGCCAAACCAATTGCTTGGTATTTTTTTCTCCCTTCTGAGTCGTTAGTTTTCCATACCTACAATAATTATCAGTGGTGATAGGCTTCTCTGACCATGTGAATAATTTAATTCTCAATGCACAGATACAGAAACCCTTGCTGAAGACGGTGGCAAGCAGAGAAGGCTCTCTCTACTCCTTCCACCTGAAACACCTCTGCAGAAGCATATGGGAGCTCTGCCTACAGCCCTTGGACCTAACCACTTCAGTGTGTTCCAGTGAGTGTCTGGACTTTGGCCTGAAAGGTTTTTCCTAAACTAAAGAAAATTTCTCTGACCTATAGGCCTTAACCTCCACCCCAGAAGCTCTCACCAAGGACTATAGGGAACCGGTGGGGAAAATCCTCATCCCTTACCCCTCAAGGCACAGGGCAGCAATGCTGAGGCTTGTGTGCCACACTTCCTCCCAGAGGTCCTCAGCGGGCTGCCTGCGGGGGTGAATGACTTCCTAACATGCTCCTTGACAGCCTTCCTTTCCTTGCCTCGCTTCTCCACTCTCCTACCAGCACTGCAGGAGTCACATCCCAAATATACCAGTGGCACTTGAATCCTGGTCTCCAGGTCTGTTTCTGGAAAAACCCAAGTAAGACATTGCCCCAGTAATGGGGCTAGATGTCTGAGGCTTCCTTGAGCATCTACCTTGAAGGCTTTTACTGCTCTACACACATGCACATACACACACGAGTGTGCAACCAGTTACATCCAAGCTCCCCGAATACCAGCCTGTTGAAGATAGCAGAGAGCTGCACTATAAGCCAAGGCTGCTCCCAAGAGCCGCTCCATCACTGAATTGGGTCCCCCGCAAGATGAAGGAATGTAATTATTCGAAGGATGGAGAATGTTCTCTGAATCACTGACAAGTTGGAAGGGGTGGAGGGCAAGAGTCCACCTGGGTCAAGTGGAGAGATGGAAAGAGTGAGAGAACCTGGACTGATAATGCCATTGCTCAGAAAAGGCTGCTCCAGATGCATATCTACAGCAATTGTACAGCCCAAACATCTCTGAGCAATAGGTCTCTGGTAGTCTTGATGTCTAGACCAACAATTCCCACTTCATTCTTCTCAGGGAAGGAGCAAGGAGAATCCAGAGACTCTCATTCTGCTGTTACATTAAAAGAGTTAGGCACAACAGCCTTGGCACAGTCACAAGAGCACATTCACACTAAGGTGTAAATGACTCACAGCTCCTTTTCTATTTTTAGGTTGGGAAGTTGCTTTAGAACATAAGGGGGAACTAAAGAATATTCCTGTTACATACAAGGCAGAGAAAAGGGAAACTAGTGGTGACAAGACAAATCATCTCTTTGACATTTGGCAGGCTCTACTTATTACAGCTCTGGGGGTGAGGTGGGAACAAAAAGATGCTGTGTAAAGAAGTTTATGCCATCCCTGCTGTAGTGGGGTGCAGTTTAGAGGGATCACTGATCAAGCAGAGACCCAGAGAGTGTTTCGTTCCAAGCCAGAAACAGAAATGTATAAAACACAGCCTTTCCAGCATCAGAAATGAGTAGTGGTAGTAGAGACCTACCCAAAAAAGGAAAGAGGACCACGTGAGGTAGAGTGCCAGGACCCTACATCCCAGTGCCGCTGCTCATGACTGTAATCTTGAGTAGGTCCCTTAAAGTCTCTGGACCTCAGTTTTGCCATCTGTGAAATAGGGATAATATTATCCAGCATAAAATTGGTTATGAGGCTCATGTAGGGCCTGCCTGGGATGATGTGTTACTAATGGTTAAGAACACAACTTCTGGGATCTGACTGAACAGGCTGAAATCCATGCTCAATACGTTCTAGCAGAGCCCTGGGTGATCTATTTAACTTTTCTCACCTGTAAGCTGAGACAAAAAGTACCCACTTTATAAGATTATTCCAATAATTACTTGAAATAATGCATGCAGAGAATTAAGAATGGTACTTTTTATTAAACTAGCTATTAAAATGTGTAAAACATATAGTATGGATTTTAGGACAATGCAAAGACTCTCTGCTGGCTGCAATAGTTCGGGGCCCCTTCAGATGGCTAAAGGCAGAATTTGTATATGTAAATATGGTGTGCTTATCTCTGCTCTGGATACTGAGGGCTTACCCTGTTATTAAACTTGTTTAGTAAATGTTGAACTGTCATGAGGCCTAACATTTAGTTCTAGTTATTAGATAAAACATTTGCTTTGAATAGTATTTGAATTGCCAGGTTCTAGATTATTCTGGTTGACAAACTCTTCATATTTTATAAAGAGGCTAAAATTGGTATGCTATCGCAGAACAGATGTGCCATTTTCAAGGTATATTAAACCATGATTCACTGGAACATTGGTCCTACTGGCAACAAATTCAGAGCAGGCTGGACTTTATTTGGTGAAGAAACATTGAGTAGAAGAGAAAGGACATTATTTTATGTATTTTCGTTTTCAAATTACTGTAGCTTAAACCTTTTAGCCATCGTTACCCACCTTCGGTCTGCTAAATAAATGATTCAGTACATTTCTAATTTACAGAATTTTTTAACAAAAGAAAATGTAATTTGATAGCCAAATCAACATTAAACATTATACACTTAAAAAACCACAGGCAAAGACAAAAACATGATGACACTAACTTTTGTCAACATATGCTTACCTATGGTTTCCCTCTGAGGCATGTTCTTTCACGCTAAGCTTCCAACATAATATGAAAATGAAGGAGATGCATTTTGCAAAGCAAAACACACCTTAGGCAAAACACACATCTCAAATTAACACTGTTACAAAGTTTTAGAATTTAGTAAGTTCATTAATTTAAAAGTTGGGATGTCTGAGTCCTTCTATCCCAAAACAAGATCTTGGAGGGACTTCCACAGCTATGTAATACCATGGTCACATGACCCTTTCTGAAATTATTAATCTGAATACACCATATGAGGATAAATTCCATCTTTTTGAAAATATTTAGGAAAATGAGCTTGGTATTTATAAAATGAAGCTCTCTTTGGGTGGGTATCCTAAGACATGTCAAGCCAATCAGCCTGTAACTGTCAAAAAACATTGGTAGGTACAAAAGTGGGGTGCGAGAGGAGTGACTTAACTTTGTTAAGTGATGGGAAAGAAACAGTAATAGCATATCTCAATAAAATGTGATTTAGGAATATTTAAAATACTAAATCATTAAACTGACAAAGAAATATAAATCATTCAGAAATAAACTCATTAGGTCATCAAATCCCGTTAAATGTGCAATTGGGAAGAGCAAGGTGTACAATCCATACATTTAAACTCACGGGCTCACTTTGCACAATGTCAATTTACTCCTTAATATGTTATTAATATGCATTTTCCAAAAGGATGTATTAGTAAATTGTACACATCTACTTCTTGGCACCATCATATACCTGGTACAACATAAGCATTCTTCTTATAGTTAAGGAATGTGGATGGTATGAAAATTAGAAAAATAAATGCCCTATTATGTTGTGGTCAGGTTTAAGGCATGTGAATTTTTATCTTCATACAAAATATTAAAATCTAGGTATTAAAAAGTAGTGCAGTATCAGTGATGCATTACCCCTGAGTTCCCAAAATGTCACATCACAAAAATATCCTGTAATTGCTTGTAGTTTATTCCTTGGCTTTCCTCTTTTCTCTCTGCATCTTTGTAACAATTTTTTAAAAGTGGAAATATAATTGTTGGCAATGCTAACAGCTGTAGAAATGATTACAAGGTAGGAAAAGCATAACAGGAATGTCAAGAATCTGTTTCTGGCAGTAACATATATGGAACATTGTTCAGGACAAAAGAGGAGAAGGAAGGAAAAAAGGAGAGGAGTTTATCATCTCTAAGAATTTTCAAACTAAACCTCATTGCTTAATAGGAAAAAAAGATTCCATATTTAAAGTTAAGTCACAGATAACTACTAGCTAAAGCATGACATCACCAGCATTGGAGTCAGCAGAAGTGTGTTTTTGAAGGACAGTGTTGCAAGAGGATCTTGACAGGTTTTCAGAGCCAGGAGACAGAAAATAATTCTACCTCTGTCAATTGAAGGACCTTAGGCAAATCAGTTTACCTCTTGTAGACTACACTCCAAAATTTAGACATTCAAAAATCTGATATTAATAACCACATGAAAGTCTCGTGTTGAGGTGAATATGTATTTGTTGGTGAAAGATATGTTGGTTTTTAAACAGACAGCACTCTGCAAACGTAGGCTATTGTTGTGTTTTGCTGGTTGTCAAATTCTATACAGTTATACACATCTGCGTGGCCTCCTAATGGTGTTTTTCCAACGGCTAAAGGTTTATGAATAAGACAATTTTCCTGATGGAATTAACCCGATGCTTTTCTTAAACATGTAACCTTGAGTTCACTATACAAAACAATGCTTTAATTAGAGCAATGCATATAATAAAGGTTACCCTAGTTTCTTAGACCCTAGACATCATTCACAAAAAAGAGAACTGCTTTTGAAAGGGATGTATTTGCACAGGGAAGAAAAGTTTTCTACTTCTAATTATAAATGATTTATTGGTGTAAGCAAAACAACAGCCTATCTGAGAGGCACTTCTATGAGCATCCTCACGTGTGATTTGCAAGATTGAAGAAGAGGGAAAAATGCCTCGATTGTACCAATGATGAGAAAACACCAAAACTACAAAGCAGGTTTCAGAAAACCAAACTCATAACCAAGGACAATAATAAAGCAATGTGTTGACATATACTCTGCAAGTTTTCCTCCATAAATAGTTTACAGAAATTTTGTAATTTCTGTAAATGCATCCTATAATAATTTTGCATCTTGCTTTTTTTTACATTAAATATCAAGTAGATTTCTATAGGGCAATTATTTGAAAATGATCTCAAATACATGGGGAAATACACATCAAATGAAAAAATGCAGTGGGTGATAGAGATACCATGAAGAGCCTCAAATATTTCCCATCTCATTGGAGAGAAACAAACATGTTCTCATTTAGAATGAGTGGGAGTTACCAAACTGATTTAGGCCTCTATATTTAACTTCTAGTCAAAAAAGGTAGTTCCATCTAACAATAATATTATGGTGAACAAAAGAAAAAATTAACTCTCTAAATTTGCAGTAGGGTCTTTTCTTCGGAAGTACCAAATCCCATCTATTACCAGCTCCACGCTTCAGGCCTAAAAAGCAATGACAGAATTTTTCCCAAGTGACTAGGATATAAACACCACTTTGGTTGCACAGTGAGACATATGCTCCAAAGAAAACTGGTTCAAAAACAGGCAAGTGGGTTTCTACAGAATAAATGAGAGCCCCGTCAATGGCTTCCTCTTCAGGGCTTTGTGTCTGTACTCGCGTGGTGGCTCTTTGTTTCATCTATGGATAATGGTGCACATGGTGTTCATAATTCCTTACACTCATGAACTGCTATAAATTTGTTTTTGGTATTCCAGAGAGTCCTAACTTCAGCTTCTGGGCAATGCTGAGGAGGCACCCTATGTTCTAGACTTACCTTTGCAAGGTGTACTCTCAGCATTGTGGGCGATTTCCTTGGGAGAATATTCTATTTAAAGAACTACTGTCCCAGCATAAAACAAAAAATCATTTATGAAGATGCAGGAGACTCAGAAAACTCTAGATTATGTTTGCACAAGCATAATGTCAGAGCCTCCTTTCCCCACTCCACAAGGGGGTCAGGAAAGGAGTACTCAGCTGTGAGAAAAGACATACAGAAGAATTCATGTGGTCATGAGAGCGAGGACATGGCCGATCCTCCAAGGAGGATGTGTCATACACTTCATGAGCCCAAGAGTGTGCTGTAGGGTCTGAAGGGCAAGATGCTGGTTCACTGATGTAAAGGAGAAAGGGAAAAAGCTTCAGCCAACTAGAAAAACAGTCCTCATGCATGCTATTTTTTATTTCAAACACAGGTATCAATATCAATTCCTTCTCTGAGAGAGTATATTTTAAAATAGGATATATTTTTAAAGGAATATTTAAAGGACACATTAAAATTTATTTTAAAAACTTTTCAAAAGAAACAAAAGGTATGAATTTTATTTAATCCTTAAGGAAATGATTATTTTCTCATCCACATAAATCATTAATTTTGTTTTTCTTTATCTCCTTTATTAATCTACATTAGAAAAATAAACTTTTCGTACACTAAGAACAAGCTAACCAGTCTCAATTGACAAAATGTACCAATGCAACACAATTACTTTCACCTTTAATTTACAGGCAGCCAGATTCAAAATCCTTAAAGTTGCTTAAACTTAAACATGACAATGACAACCTAAAAGGTATAATGTTGATTGGAGCAGATATTTAATTGGAAAATTGATGATTTTCCATTTCCAATTAAATCTCTAGATAGAAATGAAAAAAATTAAAAATCATATTTAAGAAAAGCCAAATCTTGGATTGTGAGGTATCCTTTTAAGGATGTTTCAGCAGAAAAAAACAAGGACTCTCACAATTGTGTAGCTGCCTGGATTAGGTGGGTACCCTGATCAAGGAGATGGGGGATGATTTGGCTTTAGTATTCCAATAATAAAGTTTATAATGAGAATAACATGTTGCTACAAAATCCAGTCTCTTCCTCAGATGCCTTCCACAGAGGGCAGGAAGATTTGTCAGTTTTGTTTGCTGATGATGCCTGGTTCTGCCAACAAACAACACCTGTCACATGGTAGGTAGTCAATATACATTTGTTGAATAAATAGAGAAAAATAGAAATGTACAGTATGTTTGTGAAGCCAACTGTGTGTACATTGCTATTGAGGTACACAAAGAGTCTTTGTTTTAAATTTGAGAATGAGGACTTTCAATGGAATATATCTATAAAAATGAAAGAAAGACATTACTGTCTGGACTCTTGTACAGCAAGAGAAGAAAAACCACTAGCAAAGAGCCAACTCACCTGATAGACCTGGATCACGTATGTGGCCGTGGAGAACACCCCTGGGACTCTAATTCCGGCACTCCTGCAAGCTGGGTACTTGGGCAGGACAGCAGCAGCACTCATGAACTGGGCAGCACCTGTTGGTGAGGGCTGATCACATGGATTCTCTCATCCAAGCCTTACAATCAGTCCTTTAGGTACATACTTTTTCTGACTTTGCTGATGAGGAAACTATGCACAGAGGTTATACAGCTTAACAAAGGGCCCTCACCTCATGAGTCATGAAATGGAACTTTAGCCTTTCTTTGTATCTGGTCTTAGAGCCAATACCCAAGAACCACTGTACTGTACACATTGTCTCAGAGAAACTTACTCTTCCTGGGCCTCAGTCTTTAAAAGGTGGGCAGTTGACTTAATAAGAATTAAGGATCAATGATTAGGGCTCAAGGCACTCCAAAATTCTGGTCTTTATTGAAAAGGCTACAGATGTCTCACTTTAGTAACACCCTATCATCTTGATATTCTTGGTTAATTAAATATGGGAAACCAATTTCACAGTAATTGAGGTCAGAAAAAAGTACTCATGACATTTTAGAATATAATGACAAAGCCATAGATAAATTTTAATGCAACTGTAATTACTTAAAACTGTTACAGCATGCAATGTGTTACCACAACAGCCAGAGAAACACTAATTTACTCAGCCTATTCTTCTAGACCTATAAACACTAGGATTAAATAAATATTTTCATTGAATTTATTCTACCCTTCATTGCCATTTATAGATAGCTTACTCATCAAATATTACTTTCTAATTGTTTTATGTTTCCTAACTAGCCTGTAATACTTTGGCAAGGACCTCAAACAATAGTAGACAGTAGGTATAAAATAGATGGCTACATTGAACAGATGATTAAAAGGATGCCTCCTGAGTACCTATATCTTGAAATATACTTTATTGTGCCTTACTTTCAATTTGTGATTTTAAAATGTAGAAATCGCCTATTTTATGTAATAACAATAAAATCCTTCTTTGCTGAAAATATGCACAAATAAAGTTTACAAGCTTAAAAAATTAAATCGCAGTAATGGTCAAGCTTTCCAATAATAAAATACATTTTCATAAGGTTTTCATTTTACAAAAACTCAAATAGCTTCATGAGTTCACAAAATAATATATTTTTCAAGATATTAGCGTATTCTTATACTGGAAGAGCAGAGAATAAAATTTACTTGGAGATCGAGCATTTGCTTCTTTAAGAAATACTTCTTTGGCCGGGCGCGGTGGCTCAAGCCCGTAATCCCAGCACTTTGGGAGGCCGAGACGGGCGGATCACAAGGTCAGGAGATCAAGACCATCCTGGCTAACACAGTGAAACCCCGTCTTTACTAAAAAATACAAAAAACTAGCCGGGCGAGGTGGCGGGCGCCTGTAGTCCCAGCTACTCGGGAAGCTGAGGCAGGAGAATGGCGGGAACCTGGGAGGCGGAGCTTGTAGTGAGCTGAGATCCGGCCACTGCACTCCAGCCTGGGCGACAGTGCGAGACTCCGTCTCAAAAAAAAAAAAAAAAAAAAAAAAAAAAAAAAAAAAAATACTTCTTTTAGTATTTTTACTTTAATATTATGAAAGCTACATAATTACATTCAGATTCTTTAACTATTCCAGTAGTTAATTTTTAAAACTTACGATGAACAGTTTTGTTTAAAATATGGAACATTGGTAATATGAAAATCTGAATTTGTAAGAATGATTTGCATTCCTTTTTTTTTTTTTTCTGATACAACAAATGATGAAATAACTAATGGTTCCACAGAGGATAAAATGTCTCAAATCTGTTGGTTCTGAAGGTGAAGCGAGATTTTATACTGATACCATGTATCACTGAGATGCCAGAAGGAAATGGAATTAAACTTAGATAGTTCAAATGGAGAGATTTTAATGAAGGGACAACCTACAGAGGTGTTGGCAGGGTCAGGGGGAATCAATGAGATATGCTTAGAACCCACCAACTGGTAAACCTCTCCCTAAAGATGGAGGAGGAAGGAGTGATACTGTAGTGAGAGCTTGAGCCTAAGGGAGGAGGATGGGCTGCTGAGCAGGAGGCACCATCCTGAAAGAAGAATCCTCTGCCAGATACTTTTCAGGGTCATTTCTTCACACTCTCTGCAGGGAAGCAGGGAGACAGCAGGAAGAAATATCCTAACCTCACTTTCCTCCCTCTGCCAGTGCCTTCCATTGGCCAAATCCTCCCAGAGGCCAGTTGGTGGCGATCAGCTTCCAGGGGCAACAGGAGGGAAGAGGAGGGCAGAGACTGGCTCAGGGGTGGGGGATCATGCACATTAGGGGCTCAGTTGTTCAAATACCTGTCACTGAGGCCTGATAAGGGTGAGAAGACTGAGCATGCTTCTCTGACCTAATTTCTAAGAAATCTACTGGAAATAACATTTGGGGATTTTTCCATTTAATAATTTTTTTAAAAAATAGCTGCCCTCTCAGCCCCATTTCCCATGCATTTTCCTCTCTTCAAGCTGTATTTAAATTCCTTCTTTCATTTTCCTTCTGGTAACAAAGACGTCTGTGGCTCAACAGACGTTTCTCTAAGACCCCATCCTGTTAGGTCTCTGAGCTGTGGGAAGTATTTACACAATTGCCAGTGAATGTAAGATGCAGGAATTTCCCTAAGATCCCTAACAAAATTGGTGATAAGTAGTCCCACATGTTAATCTAGCCACCCATGGATGACAGCACTTACTGTTTCTTTGATAAATGCCAAATACATTTGAAATAAATACCTGACATATTTAAGTGCTTTCTAATCTATTAATTTTATATATGCATGAGTCTGTTTTGTATATCTTCTGATTATAGGATAAATGTAAATAAATCCAAGGAATAATTAAACCTACCACTTTCAAGAAGCCTTCTTTGTAGAACTGGAGGAGTCTTAAATAGGCTTTTCAGGTATGCATCTCTTATTATCGCTAAACACCAACTCCGGCAAGGCAGACATCATGTGTGGGTCATCTTTACAGTAGGCACAGGCCCTAAAACAGTGACATGCACATTGCAGGCACTCCATAAATGTTTGCTGAATTGGCTAAACCTTGGTTTGTCCCCATAATCAACCACCGCAAACAGCACACAGATAATTACTTCTTGGAAAGATTCCAGCTAGTGTTTGATGTTACCTATGTGGTTTTTCTCTCAAGAGCAGCTCTGTAGGATTACATTGTTTTCTGGTTTTTTTTTCCCTTTGACCTTAATGTCATCTACTTCAATAACAGCTTCATACAAAATTCCTACCAGCACATACCACAGCAGATTCAAGGCCTTGTTTTAAAAATGGTGCCAGCATCTCTTAATTTGGAAGATATATTGTCTCTCCTGAACATGGGCTAAGAAAATGTATAATTTGGTATTAACATAAGAGCTGAAGACACTTTAAATGCACTGTTTCATTTTTATAAGATAAAAATAATTTTAAGAATCAAAATGTTATCAACAGACCTGTCCTTCATTAAAAAGTAAAACCGCATTTTCCTACATTTTATGAAAGTGTCCAATTACAAACAATTTTGAAATGTAACTTTTAAAAATGTAAACAGCCAAAATACTGTATTTAAAATAAATCTGGACAGGCAAAAAATATACATATATACCCAGAAGACAGAGATTTTGGTGAAAGTTAAGATATTTCATCTTTGAACAACTTAGAATCTTTCCTGCATTTTATAGTCTAGTTCCAGGCATTAATCTGAAATAACCTTGAAATCCTAAATCTAACACCCTTCGAACAAAGTAGCTTTTCTCTTCTGCCTTATGAGCAAATGGACTAAATACTAGGAAATGGTACTGTCTGGGCCTTTGAACCAAGACTGAAAGAGATGAAATCCTATATGATACGTATAAACATTAGAGAATCCATTTTGATTTAATAAAAGGATGAATTTGTTCTATATCCTGTGAGAAAATGGTTCCCTTTTCCTGAAAATGTTGTCTCATTCCAACAATAGAGAGTTGGTTTTTTTTCCAGGGTGTGGTGTCGGGGGTGGACAGAGTTGCCATGAATACGGCATCTATCAAGACTGCTGTTATATTCATTTCTCAAAATGCATTGTAGTAGGAAATTCAGAACGCAATAAGAGAAAATAAATGTTTGACTTCAAAATATAAGGCCACATTTAAAGCAGCAGGTGAAGTATAGAACAGTTAACAGTACAAATTCTTTATCTGCAAACTTGCAGTTCCCTAAATCTCTGTAACACATCACTTTTAAAAGCCTCAGAGAAGCGGTTCTATAATAATTTACCAATAATTCAACCCCTCAATAGCCTTAGCAAGTGAAACCTTATAGTCTTACATTTTAGAAATGACCCAACTTGATCCTTTTATTCTTCAGAATATCTCTCTCAAATTTTCATTTGCTTTTCATTAATTGATGAATTATGAGATGTTTTAGGTGCCTGTCCACAAAGAAATGAAATTTTCACTTTCCAGGAACCTAACGAATGAAAAGATAGAAACCAATTCCAACAGAATGTTACCAAAGAAATCTTTTAGAGTCGACTGTTAACATTATTTATTTATATTTATCTGGCTCTACTATTTGTGGTACATTTACACTTCAAAGCTAAACCTCAAATAACATCATAGTGAGTGGTTGACTTCATGTTTAGCTGAGGTCTTGAAGACTGAAAAAGACCATGACAAACGCACATCTATTGTCTTGGCTACTGTATCCGTCTTCATCACCATTCTGATGGTGTGCAATGTATTGCAGCTCACCCTTTGGGAAGGACTAAAGTAGACATCTGTTGGTTCTGCTTGCTCAGCATTCCTACCCTAATTTTCCTCTGGAGAACCCCTTTATTCTAGACCACGTGAAGTTAATGCCAAACCCCATTCCAGGGGATGCACCTGAATCCAACTTCAGTTATCTAAACAGTCCCTTCTCCACGTTCAGAGAAGAGCAAGCGACTCAAACTGCCTTCATAAGGACAGACCTGGGACTTCTGCTGCAAATATTGAAGAATAAGTACTCTTTTTTCTTGCTAGGACTAAGCTGGTAGTACCTTCTAGGAGGCTATCATATGGAAACAACTTGTTTGAAAAAGAAGCCACAACTAGAAAACAGATCCTGGTAACCCGGATTGACGGATCCAGCCCTACCTTAAATGGCAGGACCTAACCCGAGGCTTTTTGCATCAACCAAGCAAAGTCCTTAAGTTTTGTCACTTGCAGCTAAAAGAATTCTGACTCTAACAATGTGACAATAGCAAAAATAAACATGACTGCTTTTGAGGTTTCTAATGGATTTTCCTCCCTAGACACATGATTTCATTTAATCCTCACAATTCAAAAAAGCACATGTCTATTAACATTAAATTAATGTTCATTATTTTGAACACATACTATGTGGACAAGGGATGGGGAAAGCCAAGGGAGCAATCAATGTGAAATCTCACTTATATGGAAGGGAAGTGGAGGTTACATATCTCAGGGCACTTAACAGACATCATCAAATGAAAGAATAAACAGTATATGGGAGAGGCAGGAGGTGATTCTTCAATTCCTGGATGAAAAATTAGGAGATAATGAACTCCTAACAATCAGCCTAATGAGAATGGCTCAAGCAACAGGGCATAGAGAGGGAGTTAGGTTAGACATGGGGTTCTTGAGAGTTTTCAGCTCTGGGTGGGTGCAGCTGTCGTCAGTGGGAAAGGGAAAAAGGAAGGGCTGAGTGTGGAAGGCAGGGAGGGAGGAGACAGTGGGAGTCAGTGAAACAGGGCCTTTAGAATGACAAGTCTGGACCAGAGAGAGGCTAAGACTTGAAATACAAGATGGGTAACCACTGGCATACAGATGGCAGTTCAGACTTGGGCACTGCCCACCAGAGCCTCATCATGAAGAGAAGAGGGAGAGGCTGGCCACCACCTCCCTCTGAGTAATCGAAATCCTGCTCCGTGAGCTCCTGAAAACAGGCTTTCACTCGCCCCATCTCTTGCTCTTGATTGCAACCCGGCATTCAGGAGGCATCCAGTAAATATCTGTGGAGGGACCGACAACGCAGCGCTAGGGCACTGAGAAGACCCCGGGGCACCAGGGGCTGGTTCTACAAGGGTGCCCCTCCCGGTGCCCTCCAGCACGCTGCCAGAGCCGCCAGTCTTGGCCGCTACACGGGATGCTGCCTCATTATTCAGCTCTCACCTCTTAAATTAGTTCACGCTCTCACATTAGGTGTAATCACAGCTGGCAACGCTTTCTGGGGATGTCTCAGAAAGATCTGAGTTGAAAAAATATTTTTGTGTCATATTTATTTAAAGTAAAATTGCTGCTTCCTCCCCGCCCCTTCCTTTCCTCCTGGCCCACCCAGTGACCCCGGCCATGCTCAACGGAGGCGGCGGTCGGAGGTGAGACTTCCTCTACATAATTCCTTAAACAGCTATCAACTAAGTCTTAAAGAAAAAAAAGAGATCTAGAAGCAGAGACATGGCTGCTGGCGATCCCAAAGCTGGTGTACCCGCGTAGGGGAGAGCGTACTCTGGGGGCGGCCGGCAGGCCGGACCAGAGGCTAGCCCCGAGGCCCAAGGCAGGAGCACTCCGCCGGCGCCCCGCGTCTCTCCAGCTCCCAAGGCTGCGCTAACTCCACTGATCACGCCAGGTTCAAGGTCGCCCAGTGGGGACCGGAGCGCCGGGAGCCGGTGGTAAATGTTCCAGCCGGCCTCTGCCTGGGGTCGGGAGCCGCGTTTCTGCTTTGTACTTGACGGACAGGTCCGCCCGCCCTCCCGCCGCCCGGCTACCAGCCCGCGTTCATCCTGCAGGGCTAAGTCTCCCGCACTCGGCCTGGAACGCCTGGAGCGCTCCCTTCCTCTCCCCATCTTCGCAGCTCTCCTCTCTCCCTGCCACTTGGCAAAGCTGAATTTTGACTTTCACATTTTTGACTACGTGTGTATAGTTCCAAGTCCATGCGTGGCACGAAAATCCACTTAGGGTAAAAATTATTCTCGAAAAATCGCCCATCTGGTGTTCTACACTCAAGGCTAGGAGGTGCAGGCACGGGTGCATAAAGCACGCCGTAAGGGTGCACAGTAAATAAAAAGTACGGATGCAAAATGTAAATTTTAAGTGCAAAACAGAAAAGCAGTGCTCGTTGCCGCCCCGCACGCTGGATTTTAAGGGGCACGAAGGCGGGCCTCAGCGGTTTTCGCTTAGCCCCGCGTCCTCAGCGCCCGGCCCAGTACCTACTCCGTACGGGTTCAATGATCTCTCCTGAATAAGTGAACAAATTAAGAAATGAATGAATGACCTCTCGATCCGACCTCCGCGCCGGGCAGAGCAGAGCAGTCGCTGCGGGAGGCGGGAGAGAGCGAGAGGCCAAGCTCCACCGTCGCGGCCGCCTGGTGGAGCAGAGGGACCCGGAGACGCCCGGCGCCGCGAGTGCCTGCCTAGTAGCTCCCGGGTACCACGTGCGCCCACCCCAAGCCGCGCAGGCCCCGCCCCGCCGCGCGCGCACGCGCCCTGCAGCCCCGCCGCCGGGACCCTGCGCTAGACTCGCCCAGCGCCGGCTGCCCTCCCGCCCGCGCCCGCTGGGAGGCGCTCCCCTCCCACCCGGCGCGCCCACAGGCGGGCGGGCGACTCGCGGCCTCTAGCTATTCCACTCCCGACCCCGGCGCGCGCCTCCTCCTACCTGAGGGCCGACCAGCGGGGGCGGGCGTGAGGGCCGAGCAGCGGGGGCGGGCAGGAGGGCCGAGCATCGGGGGCGGGTGGGAGGGCCGAGGGGGGCGGAACAGGATCGAGGCGGGAGGCGAGAAAGTGACCGGCCGCGGCGGACCCTCGGTGCGCGGACGCGGGCGCGCGCCCGCGCTCCCTTCGTCGACTCCCGGCCAGAGCCCAACCCTGCTGCCGCGCGCCGCCCGCCTCGCCGAGCCTAATAACAACGGCGCCCGGGGTCAGGTGGCCGCGCGCGGACAGCGCCGTCATTGGCTCGGTGGGGAGCGCGGCGCGTCAGGATTGGCTGGGAGGCGGGGCCTCGGCCGGGGCGGGGGCAGGGCCTCTGAGGGAGGCGGGCCGGGAGGCGCCGGGGGCGGGTCTAGGCCGCGGTCCGCGCCTTTGTGCCCGGCGCGCGCTCTCCGCCCGCTCCGGCTGCAGCGCTGGCTGCATCAATAATTCAGAGCGGCGGCGGCGGCGGCAGCGGCGGTTGCGGGCAGGAGGTGGCGGCAGCAGTGGGAGCGAGCAGCAGCGGCTATGCATCCAAGTGCGGCTGGGCAGCCGCGGCACCCCTGAGGCCCGGGCGGGGCTCCGGGAACACAGCGCGGAGGGGACGCTCGTCCCAGAGTGCGAGGAAGAGCTGTAGTGTCCAGAGCGGCGGCGGCGGAGCTGCGCACGGAGCTGAGGAGGGGGCTTCGGAGAGGAACTGGGACGGGGGGGGCGGCTGGCGCGAGCAGCCCCGGGGGTGGGGGGCGGGGTGGGCGCCGGAGGCGCGATGCTGGGCGCCGTAGAGCTGCTGCTGCTGGGGGCTGCGTGGCTGGCGGGCCCGGCCCGCGGGCAGAATGAGACGGAGCCCATCGTGCTGGAGGGCAAGTGCCTGGTGGTGTGCGACTCCAACCCCACGTCCGACCCTACGGGCACAGCCCTGGGCATCTCTGTGCGCTCCGGCAGCGCCAAGGTGGCTTTCTCTGCCATCAGGAGCACCAACCACGAGCCGTCCGAGATGAGTAATCGCACCATGATCATCTACTTCGACCAGGTGAGAGATCCTTCCTCCCGCGGCGTGCAGATTGGGCTGGTGAGGGAGGGGTGGATGGAAGACCGATGCCCGGTCCTCTGCAAGGGCTCTGCGGAGGCGCGGGGACGGCAGTCCGGGACCGATTGCTGCCCACTCCCCTTCGTTCCCGTCTCGTTATAGGTACTAGTGAACATTGGGAGCAACTTTGATTCAGAACGCAGCACTTTCATCGCCCCGCGAAAAGGGATCTACAGTTTTAACTTCCACGTGGTAAAAGTCTACAACAGACAGACCATACAGGTCAGCCGCCGCCTCGGGCCGGGCCCTGGCCCCGTAGCGGGGTTACTGGCCGCAGGGGTGCTCGGGCTGTCCGGAGGTGGTAGGCAGAAGTGGCGGCTGCATGTACTTCGGGCTGCTTGGAGGGACAGATAGCGGGGCCTCTCAGTTCTGTGGCTTCAACTGCCCTCTGCTTTCCCTGTCTCTGGATCTTGGGATCCAGCTCCATCCCTCCAGAGACAGAATTTTCTGCTTCCGCCTTCCGGGCCCCTCCGAAGGGTTCCCTGGATTGCAGGGACTTCCTTGTAACTGCTGTTGTTAGCGCCCCAGACAGCTGCCGCTTGGGGAGCCTTCCCGGACTTGGATGCTTGTCTTCAGCACCACGGACAGGGCCCCCGTTTTCTCCCACTTGCCCCCATCCCCACCCCGTGCGGACTCTGGGTTTTTGAGCTAGCAGCATTTAGCCCCGGGGGGTGAGGGGTGGAGAGAGAAGGGAAGGAGGGGGCGTAGTGCTACTCTTTCCCGGCTCCAGCCGTGTCCCAGCAAGCACTCGCCGGCTCTTAGGGTCCCCAGAGGTGTCCAGGTTTCCTTTGGGCGCCGAGAGAGGCGGGACGCACAGCTGGGGAGAGGGCGCGAGGCCCTTGGCTGACGGTGCCACCACAAGGGCAAAACCAGGCGGTGGCGGGCGCGGCTGGATGGGGGCTGGAATTGAGCCCGTGGTTTGGGGAGAAAATACATTGTGCCGCTCGGTGCGAGATTTCTAATCAGAAATCACAGTGGCTTCTCCGCTGTGTCTTGGCAACGGGGTCCAGGAGGGATTAGGGGCTTTTTGTTTGTTCGGTTTTGTTTTTCCGGTAGCGCCGGAGGGAGCCTGAGTTGCTGCGGCTTTTTTGTTTGTTCTTTGTTTTTTGAGGCTGAGGGGAAACGGGAGAGAGGTCAAAGGTCTCAGGGCGCTAGAGCCACCTCATGAGTTTATTAAATTGGATCACAGAGCACAGTCGAGATTCGCTTGGCGCGCTCATTTGAGAAACTGGAATAAGAGCAACTCCCGTTTTGGGGACAGACCCTTCCTGTCACCCAGATGTGTGGTCTTTCGCCCCACTGGAGCCTCAGTAGTAAGCTCCAAAGCCCGTTTTCCACCATTCGCCCCCGCCCCCCGCCACCACCACCCCTCCGTGCTTCCAGGTCTTACAGGCTGTTAGCCAAGCAGTGGGGAGGTTCGCTCCACCGCGGCTTCAGTGCCTGCCTAGGTTGCGCCTCTGAAGCGGGCCTTTCTCTTTCTCAGGTGAGCCTCATGCTAAACGGGTGGCCGGTGATTTCAGCCTTCGCTGGTGACCAGGACGTGACCCGGGAGGCCGCCAGCAACGGAGTCCTAATCCAAATGGAGAAAGGCGACCGAGCATACCTCAAGCTGGAGCGGGGAAACTTGATGGGGGGCTGGAAGTACTCGACCTTCTCCGGATTCCTCGTGTTTCCTCTCTGACTGGCTCATAGCCTGAAGGGAGGCGGGGAGAGGGCGAAGGCAGAAAGGGGAGTGAAAAAGAGGCTGAAATTAAGAGGGAGAGAAAGCAGCACGACTTGAAACTTCCTACATGTTCTCTAACTGTATCTGGGTAAAAAGGTGCGCGCCAGCGGTGGGACAACTTTGTCCATTTCCTTATTAGGAGACATAAATTTCGCTTAGCTCTGCGCACTCCCGTTTCCAAAAATAAACTCGCCTCCCCCATTCCAGTTGCAGTAATCAAGAAAGAGACGGCCTTGTCGTTGTTTCTTATCCCCCAACTTCATGTTCCCTGCAATTTATTTAAAGAAACTTTGTATTTCACTACATAATCTCAAATATTTCTCCCTAGCCCCCTCTGAATCCTTCTGCCTACTGAAATCTAATATATTCCCCGCCCCCAACCTTTTTTTTCAGTTTGGAGAGGGGGTAAGTTTTGTTGTTGTTGTTGTTTTGTTTTGTTTTGTTTTGGATGGGGAAGGTACTTTTAATTTGGCAAGTGTTGCTCTTCTTAAAACACTGCTCAAGTTAATTAGCTGAAGATACTTAGTGTCCTCGGCTGCTTGTTAGCAGAGAAAGGACTCACCTTAGTGGTGACTGGTTTAAAAAAATATAAATATATATCATTTGTACACGAAGAACTCTTGCCAGTGGAAACTGGCTGTGTTTCCGTATTTCTATGTCCTACTCGGAGTGATCGTGAAATCTAAGGCTGCTTGATGTTCTGATGCTTGTCAATGCCGTCGTGCTCTGCGGCTCAACGAAACGCCAAGGAGCTTCTTCGGGACGCTTCCTCTTCCTCTGTAACATACGTGTGAATAGCCAAGATTTAATTTTGCTTTAATCTAATAAAGTCGAAGCGGGACTTTTATTTTTCTGAAACAGCTTTCTAAACTCCTCATCTTCCCCAGCTGGGAGGTTGGGGGTCGGGGGTGCCAAAGGGCGAGGTTCTGAAGGGCAGGAGACTTGGGGGAACGCAACCATAGAAAGGCCTGGGCGCGAGGGCTTCCTCGCAAAGCCAGCCTTGCGCTCCTTCCTGTGCCAGGCCAGGGGCCAGCACTGCATTCGCCTGTGTTTACAGCTTTGATGCAAACGTAAGAAACGTGGCCGAAATCTTCCTTGGCCAGGCGCGGCCGCCGACCCCGGAGCGAAGTTTGATTTTTTTTCTTTGCGTTCCAAATGCATCAGGAATAGTTCCAGTTTGAGGACCCAAACCACTCTACCTGGGGCGGCAGACTCCTCACGCCTTCTGTCCCCGGATGTCTCCACCGCGTCCGCCCTGCAGTTCCCGAAGCAGCGTATGTTTTATACACCGCCTCTGAATCCGGAGTCCACCCGCCGCATACTCGGGCGCCCAGGACCTATGATTCCGCTCATTCACAGGACTTTATTCAAGAGGTTCGTCCAGGAGTTTTAATTGTATCGGAACATAATGTGAAAGCAAAATTGAAATAAACGACTTCGTTTTAAGTCTGGAAGGCTGACCCAGTTGCTTCGGCAGCGGGGAGGTCGGGAGCCGGAGCGAGTGGGCATCCTGGGGCGAAGGGCCGGGAGCTGGGAGCTGCAGCCGGCTGGTCCCCTGCAGTTGTGGTTCCTTTCAGAGAAACTTTTTCCTGGCCCAATATTCAGTAATGAATTTTATTTCCTTTAAGGGGCGTGGGGTGAAGGGAGAGTTAGCAATAGCACAATAAGCAACGTTTCTCGGATTTATCCCAGCGGCTGGTTCGAGTTAGAAATTCACGGAGCACCGGGCCTCTGTTGAAACCCAGGCCCGTTTCTTCTCCGCATGCAATCCGGTAAGCCGCGGAGCAGCTATAGCGGGAGCCCTTCCAACCCAGTGGCTCCGGGACCCGCAGAGATAGATAGGGACTCACGAGTGAGGAGTGGACCCGAGTACTTTTCTGTTTCTGCCCAACAGTTTCCCTTCTACCCTGTCAGGCCCCAGGGAAGTGGGAATGAGAAGAAATAAGGGACCTTAAAGGGATTTAAAGAAAAACTGTTTTCAATAAAGATACGCGCTTTTTCCGAAGTCTCCTGGTTGGGAAGGAGAGATCGGAGACAGTTGGAGCCTTTGGCAGCGAAACTAGCTCCACCCAGCAGCTCTGCCATTGCAGGGCCAGCCCTTCGGGCTTGTGGAGACCCTATAGTCAGTAGGGTGAGTGTAAGCTCGAGGCTCTAGGGCCGCAAAGGTTGGAGAGCCACCGTTCGAGGAAGCTGCCCCTGAACGCTTTGGCGCTCCCCGGGCTGCAGGTGGGTGGGTCAACTCTCTTTCTGAGGGCGAGAACCACCAGGGTTCTGGTTTCCGTGGCTGCCTGTTCTGTGGGGTCACCAGGCTGTGTCCCGGTGGAGTGACTTTGGCAAGTCCGCTCTCAGGCACTAAATTTGCCCATTTATATAAAGACAGGCAGAAATCTAAACACCTCTCAGAGTTCCTCCTGCTCTGTGGATCCAGCCCTCCTCTGCTCCCAGACTGGGAGTCTGCAGATTCTTTTGCCTGGGTGAGTGAGACCTGGCTGCAGCCTGTGCTTACCTGGCTGCCAAGTGGCAGCTCCTGAGTACTAGGCCTTGGGCTAGGGTGCAGGCCAGGGGAAGCCTGTGTCTCCTGGAACTGGGACTCACTTCTGAGTCCCAGCTCTGGAGCCTGGAAGGTGAGTACAGTGGGAGCAAATTGTCCCCAGATTGGAAGAAGAGGGGTTGGTTTTCCTTTGATTCTGCTGTAGCTCAGCAGACCTCCTTCCTGGTAAAGGATTCCTGCCTCCCACAATGTCCGAACCTAGTATTGGAGAACCTTCTTAATTGGGTTCTAGCCTCCCTCTTCTTTCTCCACCTGCTGACCCACTGATGATTGGGTCATCTGATGATTCCACCTCCCATTGTTGTCTTTATGCCTCCACACCTGCTGTTCCTGATTCAAGTTGAAGCACCCCTTCTCTCCTCCAGTTTGCAAAGTCCTATCCTGCTGAGGACCCAAGAAGTCCAGCTGAAAGGCTGCTTGCTCTGGGAGGAGGTTCTATCCACACAATACAGGCATTGCTTCCCCGAGGTTCAACACCCCTTCCGCACCTTCCAACCAGGCCTTGTTTTGTGCTGGTTGGGAAGGGAGACATCTGGGGCTGAGCTTGTCTCTTACTGTGTGGGTTCCATGGGGGCAGAGAGAGCCCACACAGCGCTTAGCCTGCTAACCTGGCATCCCCACCCCAGAGGGCCTGGGGAGATGTGGGGCTCCATGTCTCCCAGACTGCCCTTACTGCCAGGCCTGAGCCTACCAGTGGCCTGAGTGGGGCTGTGGATAGCTCTCCCCAGGGACCTAGAGGTTTGAGTCCTTAGGGTCCTGGCAGGTGTGGTTGGGCCACCTCCCTTGCTTCTGGGGTGAAGGTGAGGTGAGTGTTACTTCTGCTAGAGGCAGGGGAGCCATCTTCTGAGCACTGGGCTTCAGCCGGAAGGGAACAAGAGACTTGAAGACTGAGAGAGATGGAAGAGGAGGAGCACTAGGTAGAGACTACCTTCCTTCCCCCAGCCAGAGGTTAGGGAGGGGACCCATTCGGAAACCCATACCTCACAGTGGCATCCTTTCATGCTTAGAATCCTTTGGGCCCTTCTGGATCTGGGGCCCGCCTCTTGCTTTCATCTAAAATAAACCCCTTCAGAACAAAGCCTGTAGGGGTTCCAAAGCCACCCCTTCATTCAGCCTTACCCTGGTCCCGAAGGCTCCTCCCCAGCCCAGGTCACCTTGGTCACCTCCTCCCGGAAGCCTTTCATGCCTTTCTTCTCCAGCCTCCCTCTTTGGAGTGTGGCCTCTCTTACCAGCCTGCCTCCTCCCTTCCCGCACCCCGCCAATTCTCCCAGGGCAGAGGCTGTGTCTTATTCTGCGCAGCGTTTCTGGCACCCAGCCAGGCTTAAAGGTACGGTGAGTGGAACTCAGGGAGGCTTCTAGGACCCAATGAGCCCAGACCTTCTCCGCCCGGGTTCTCCACACCGCGCTAAGCGGCCTGGGAGCCGCGCAGGCGAGGAGCCGAGGGTGATCACTGTGGTCTCTGCTGGGTTGCGCTGGGCCACGCACCGGCCCCCCAGCTCGCTTGCTCCCCGGCCGCCGCTTCCACCGTAAGCCGAGCTGGGAGCGCGCCTTTCAAGCTGCTCTGGAGCGCTAATGCTCAGAGACCGGGCGCCTCCGCTCTTAATGAGAACATAATTACCCAAATGGAGAGGGAGCCTCACCCCGCTCCTTAATTGTTGCCTTAATGGGGTGGTAGTAGGGGATAGTGCGGGGCGGAGGGAAGGCGTGGGACTCTCCCACAGGTTTCAGGTTGGGTCCTGGGGCGGGGCGGACTCAGTGGAAGGCGAAAGACCCTGAACTGCAGACGTGTGCGCTGCACTTGGCCTCTGGCTTCATATGAGACCTTAGAATACTCCCCGAATCCCAGCCTTACTTTTTTTCAACTCACAAATGCGAGAGATGGGCTAGAAGACGTCTAGTGCTACTTCCAGGCGGTCTTACTTTTATGATCAGTGTGGGTGAGTTTAAGCCTTCATCTTGGTGTCCAGCCACCTGTCTCCCGCAGGTGCTGGGCCTAATTACCTCAACAGGCTTTCAAACAAAACATTGAAACCTAATACTGATTCTGGGTGGGAAAGTGGGCAGGGGGGCAGTGGTGCCCCGGAACCAAAGTTCAGGCACAGCTCCCTTTGAGCTAATTCCACGGAGAAAAAAACAAAACAAGAAAACAAAAAACAAACAAACAAAAAAGGCGGGGGTTGGGGTGGGATTGCCCAGGGGCATTTACAAAGATCTCTCAATCTTTTTGCATAGCGGATACACACGCACTCCCAGAGAGCCTTAGCGTCCTCGCATTTCAAATGGGAACAATAATGCCTTCACAACTGGGTAGTCGTGAAGACTATGCTAAAAGGTCCAGAAAGTGCTCACCACTGCCTGACACATAGTAGGTGCTGAATAAAACTAGCAATACCAAGGAGCGATCAACACTTGGCATATCCCACAATCACAGAAACAGGACGTAGGGGAACATGTGGGTAATCCCAGCGGCATCAAACATATGTGAAAACTGAAACCAGAGAGCAAGTGAACCTGAATGGTGGATGTAGGAAAAGGACCCTGTGTTCTTTCTTGTTCCTGCATACTGATCCCGTCCTCACCTACATCAACCACAAGCATAGGAGATTTTACCCCCTAAATATCTTTCCTCTTCATCCCTTTGCTTGTATATTTGCATCGACCACTGTGGATGAATGTTCTCTGCGTGTCTGTAGACTCTCCCATCAGACCAAGAGCTCTGTTGGCATGTCTGTGTCCCTTCAGAGGGTGAGCCCTTCAGAGTGAGAACTGTGTCTTTCTTATCTTGCCTGGTCCTGTGCTACCTACACAGTGCCTGGC